GATAACATTTTACATTTTTAAGGGTACGAAAACTCAATAAGGAATAGGAATTTCAATATTTGCTACTTATCCCAACCATGAAGCAGTTCATCCAAACACCGAACCCTTCAAAAAGAACCCGGATAGGATTCTTCGAGGACCTAGAAAAATGTAGGTTTTGGGTTCTTGAGGTAGTACATTTCCTCTAAACCCTAAATCCTAAACCCTTCGTAAAGTGTTTTGGGGACAGGCATTCGCCGACGGCTCCTGGTCACCTCAGCGGGGGCCTCTTGAGTCTACCTGGGCTAGACCATGCATCCCTACTGTACCCAAATGAGTCCATCAACACAGTTTAGGGTTTAGGGTTTAGGGTTTAGGGTTTAGGGCCCCAAATCCGCCCCCGAATTCTAAGGTCAACAAAGTAGGAGGATACCGGGATGGCCCCCGGGATCATGTAGGAAGCCATACCGGTATGTATGTGCACATATGCATAGGTACATAAAACATGTGTATATGTATACATAAATGCATACATACATATATGTATATCTACACATAGATATATGTTATTTACCGATGCGCAAATGTGGATGGGTATGAAAATGAATTTGTATTTTTATATGTATATGTTTTTGTATGTATATGTACGTGTATATATATATGTACATTTATATGTATAGGTGTGTGTGTGTGTTTTGTATATGTGTATGTGTATATATATATATATATGTATGTGTAGGTGTATATGTACATGTATGTGTATGTGTATATGTATACGTATATGTATATGTGTATGTATAGGACAGGTATATGTAAGGTCCCAAAACGTTTTTTCGATGACCTCTTTCTTTCTTTCTTTTTTCTTTCTTTCACCTGTTTCGTTCATGATGTCTTTCCCACCTTTCTTTCTTGCTTGCTGGCTTTCTTTCTTTCCTTCTTTCCTTCGTTCGTTATTTTCCTGTTTCGTTCTTTCATTCTTTCCTTCTTTCCTCATTCTTTCCTTCTTGCACTGTTTCATTCTTCATTCTTTAACGCAGTTGGCTACCTTAGCCTCTTACAACCCCGAACCCTCTACCCCAAACCTCAAACCCTCAACCCCCGAACCCAAGACTGGGTCCGTGTTGGTTATAATTTTTTCATTGCTGTCATACTAAATTCCCAAGAAGGAATAAACATGGATCATTTGTAGTATAATCCCACGAGGAAGAAGAAGATGGGAAAGCACGCACGCCCAGCCTCATGGGTCCGAGGCGGCCAGTGCAGCCGCAGCCGCCTACCTCTGCACATTGCCGACCCCACTGGAAGGAGCGGTTTAGGGTTTAAGGATTTGGGGTTTGGGGTTTAGGGTTTGGGGTTTAGGGTTTGCGGTTTAGGGTTTAGGGTTTGGGGTTTAGGGTTTAGGGTTTGGGGTTTGGGGTTTAAGGTTTAGGTCTTCTGCATCCTGCCGCTTAAGTCCTCAAACCCTGAACCCCGATGCCTTACACAAGGCCCTCAACCCCCAACCCGATAGCGAAAGCCAGAGCTTCCGAGAGCACCGTGCTCAAATCTGCAAAAGGACTCTCACACGTTAGGGTCTTGATGGTTAAGGGTTCAGGGTTCAGGGTTCAGGAACCCTAAACCCTAAACCCTAAACCCTAAACCCTAAACTTCGAGGGTTTCTTTTTAGGGGATTTTTGGGGGCCCGTAGTCGAGCAGGTGGCACGGGCCTGGTGGCCAAGGCCAGTGGAATTGCGAGGCTGGGCCATTCCTGCCCCCCCCCCCCCCCCCCCCCCCCCCCCGTTTAGGGTTTAGGGTTTAGGGTTTAGGGTTTAGGGTTTAGGGTTTAGGGCTTAGGGCTTAGGGCTTAGGGTTTAGGGTTTAGAACAAAAAGCCTCAAGCCCTAACACCCCCTGACACCCTGAAACCCTAAAATCCCAAAACCCAGAAACTTAGAGACTGGGTAGGTAACCTTTAATCTTTTTTTTGGCCTGGGGTATTCAGCCCCTAAAAGGAAACAACCCTAACCTTCAGGAGGCAGGAGGTGGTGGACCCTTGAACGGCCAAGTGGTTCTGGGGTCCTCCGTCAATTTGCGTTAGCGTCTGTGCCTTGGGGACTGGGCAGGTGACCTGCAGCCTTCTGGTTATATAGAACCCTAAAACCCTAAAACCCAAAAACCCTAAAACCCTAATTACTCCAAAAGGTTAACCTTTTTGAGGGCTAGGGTGTTCAGCCCCTAGGGTATTGCTTCAGCCACATTCCTCGTAGCGCGTGCGCGTGCGCACCTTGGGGAAGCGGTCCACCATTCAGCCGGCGAGCCTAAGCCATAAACCCGAAACCCTATAAACCCTGAACCCTCAACATCCGAAGCTGATCAGGCTTGGCCTTGAAGGCACTGGCATGCGTACCTAAAGGCGGCGTAGGCAACGTGTGGTAGTGTGCTGGTGTGCCTTGTCGCCTAGTGTTTCTCTAGATTCAGGTTTGTTTGGGGCTCCTTGTCATAAGCTGACGTAGACATAGGGACCCCAAAAAGGGACCCTACTTTGGAGAACTACCCTTACATGGCCACCGCGCTTGAAAAGCAGGCCAGGCAGTGGGTTCGAAGGTGGGCGATGCCCCGCGAAACTGTCTTCCCACAACGCCCGGGAAGCTCGAGAACCTCCCTCACGAGATGATACACCCCTAAACCCTAAACCATAGACCATAGACGTGAAGCCGACGCGGATTTCACACTTCCAGCCCCGGACCCTTCTTTGCGGTTCCCTTTTTGGAGCGCCTTCTGTTTTTTCTTGCTTACATTTGGAGCGCCTTCTTTTCAAAAAAAACTTACATATAAGAACAAGTAAACCCTAAACCCTAAGCCCTAAACTGTAGCCATTCAAAATTGGGTGCCCCATAGAAGGAGATGCAAGTCAGCGTCCTGGTAGTCCCCTGGCGCAGGCGCATGGGTCTCGCGGCTACGGCTTTCCAATCCAAGCTGCCGCGCACCAAGGGTGTGGCCTAGGTTTAGGAGTTTAGGGTTTAGGGTTTAGGGTTTAGGGTTTAGGGTTTAGGGTTTAGGATATGGCGCCCCAATCCTGCGCTCTATGAACCTGAAACCCTAGAAAGCCCTAAAGAAGCCAAACCCTGCGAGTTCCTGAAAGCATGAAAACCCTAAACCCTAAACCCTAAACCCTAAACCCTAAACCACCCTGAGCATGAAACCCTCCCCCAACGAGGATGGAGAAGCCGCCTCCGGTGCGCCAGCGCCGCCGCTGGCACCTATAGTGACGGGTGTAAAAAGCTGTTCGCTTGGGGGAGGGAGGGTTTAGGGTTTAGGGTTTAGGGTTTAGGGTTTAGGGTTTAGGGTTTAGGGTTTAGGGTTTAGGGGGTTTAGGGTATTTAGGGTTTAGGGTTTAGGGTTTAGGGTTTAGGGTTTAGGTTTAAAGGGTTTAGGGTTTAGGCTTTAGGGTTCAGGGGGAGGAGGGAGGAGGCGTGCCTTGAGGAGGGGAGTTAGAACACATGCGGGCTCGCATGTGCACTTATTCGAGTCTAGGTAGGCCCTTGGGACATTGTGCATTTTCCCTTATGAGGTTTACTACTGTTTGCTTCAGACCCCTCAAAACCAACAGACTCTTCCCTGTAAGGGTACTTAAGGGGACTTTCTTTTTTTTTTTTTTTTTTGGGGGGGGGGGGGGTTGGGTTGGTTCTTAAGCAAATAGTAGTTAGTTAAGAGGACCATTTTCAGGAACATTTTTTCAGAGGGTTTTACGGGCCACTCTGGGAGTTTGTCCACTACCTCGAGAAATTAGACTCCCCTTTTTGGCGACATGTCTCTATGATTTCTGGTTCTGGCCGGTTCAGGGCTCAGGGTTTTGGGGTTTAGGGTTTAGGGTTTAGGGTTTAGGGTTTAGGGTTTGGGGTTTAGGGTTTAGGGTTTAGGGTTTAGGGTTTAGGGTTTAGGGGCCTTTGCAGGTTGGGCCGTTTAGGAAAAAACAGAAAGCTTGAGGAATGCTGGCACCACCCGGGCCCGCCCCTTCTGGAGTCTTCAGATCTTGGGGCCCTCTGGGACGAAAGTCAGCTCCACTTCGACGTTCATGGGCATCACAAGTAGGGTAGGGTTTAGGGTTTGGGCTTAGGGTTTTGGGGGTTTAGGGTGTAGGGTGTAGGGTTTAGAGTTTAGGGTTTAGGTTTGGGGTTTGGGGTTTAGGGTTTAGGGTTTAGGGCAACTGTAATTATCACCAAACTCCCATGGACCTCCAAGCATCTCCTCCGCAGCCACTTGGCTTCGTTCTCGTGGCTCTGAGCCAAAGATCTGAAGTGCGGTGCCAGGCCGGGTGTGTGTAGCAGACCCTCAACCCTCAACCCCCTAAACCCGAAACCCGAAGCCCGAAGCCCGAAGCCCGAAGCCCGAAGCCCGAAGCCCGAAACCCTAAGCCGAAACCCGAAGCCCCTAAACCCCTCAACCCCTCAACCCTAAGCGTGGCATTCTAGAATGCGTTGGACTCTTTGGGCTTCAGGTCTTTTGGGTTTCCCTTCTCGGATGCTCTGAAAAGGACTTCTGGAAACTTGAAGCTTTCCTCCATAGGGCCTTGGGACATTCATATTTTCCCTTATTGGGTTTGAGAGGACTCTATTAAGGACCCTGAACCCTAAAGAGCTTTAAGGACCATCCTAGTTTCTCTGCTTCCTTGGGAACTTGCTGCTCCCCAAAAAAGAATTCCCCAAGGCAAAAGCCGAAAGGAAAGATGCTTTGAAACCATGGGTTTAGGGTTTGGGGTTTGGGGTTTTGAGTTTAGGGTTTACGGTTTAGAGTGTTTTAGGGTTCAGGGTTTAGGGTTTAGGGTGTTTAGGGTTTAGGGTTTAGGGTGTTCAGGGTTTAGGGTTTAGGGTTTAGGGTGTTCAGGGTTTAGGGTTTAGGGTTTCGGGTGTTCAGGGTGTAGGGTTTAGGGTGTTCAGGGTTTAGGGTTTAGGGTTTAGGGTTTAGGGTTTAGGGTGTCCATCAATGAAGCCCTAGAACCGGCCAGCATCCTCCACCCGCTCCGCCCGCTCCGCTCGTTGCAGGATGCTCTCCAGATTTCCCGGAGCTCGCGTGCTGGGAAGGTGGCCACGGCGCAGCATATTATATATATATACACACACACACATACATATACATAGATATACATATATGTACTTTTGTAGATAGTATATATATACATATATATGCTCGCCCCCCCCCCCCCCCCATGATCCACACATTTGGCCTCGGGAAGGGGGTTTTGGGGGGGGGGACTCCAGACTCCAGATTTTCCAGAAAAAATCTGAGAACTCCAGACCCCCAGAAAAAAGTCCCAGGACAGATTTCCAGAAAAATCTGGAGTAACTCCAGACTCCAGATTTCCAGAAAAAATGGAGTACCGGGACCGGACTCCAGACTCCAGATTCAGAAAAAATCTGGAGTACCGGCCCAGACTCCAGATTCAGAAACTGATTTCCAGAAAAAATCTGGAGTACGGCCCCGGACTCCAGACTCCAGATTTCCAGAAAAAATCTGGAGTACCCGGGCCCCAGACTCCAGACTCCAGATTTCCAGAAAAAATCTGGAGTACCCGCGGCCCCGACTCCAGAATCTGGAGTCCAGGGTCGCGGTACTCCAGATTTTTTCTGGAAATCTGGAGTCTGGAGTCCGGGGCCCCGGTACTCCAGATTTTTCCTGGAAATCTGGAGTCTGGAGTCCGGGGCCCCGGTACTCCAGATTTTTTCTGGAAATCTGGAGTCTGGAGTCCGGGGCCCGGTACTCCAGATTTTTTCTGGAAATCTGGAGTCCGGGGCCCGGATACTCCAGATTTTTCTGGGGATTAGTGTGTAGGTTTCAGGGTTTAGTGTTTTGTGTTTTAGGGTTGAGTTTTTAAGTTTAGGGTTTAGGGTTTAGGGTCAAGCGGCTCGGCTAAAACCCCAAAAAACCCTAAACTCTGATATCCAAACCAGTAAGCATCTGAAACCCCGACGGGTTTTTGGTTTCAGGTTTAGATTTAGTAGGGCTCGAGGTTCCGGCTTTGGGGTTACTGTTTAGGGTTTAGGGTTTAGTGTTCGGGTTAGTGTCTAATGTTTAGGTTCAGTTTGAAATGTTTAAGGTTTAGTTTTTGGGTTAAGTGCTTAAGTGTTTAGGGTTTCGTGCTAAGTGTTTGGGGTTTGTGCTAAGGGCTTAGTGTTAAGGTTTTAGGGTTAGTGTTTAGGGTTAGTATTAAGGGTTTCGGGTTTGGTTTTTTAGGGTAAGGGTTTTAAGGGTTTTTACAAATTTAAATGACCTGGGGAAGGCACCGGGTCTTCCCCAGACCATTGACAACTTGAAAATCCTGCTGTTTAGGGTTTAGGGTTTAGTTTTCAGGGGGTTGTGGGTTAGTGTGTAATGTTTAGGGTTTAGTTTTAGGGTGTAGTGTGTAGTGTTTGGGTTTAGTGTTTAGAAAGGGATTAGTGCTTAAGTGTTTAGGGTTTCGTGTTTCAGTGTTTGGGTTCGTGCTAAGGGCTTAGTGTTAAGCTTTTAGGCTTAGGTCTAGTGCTGAGTGCTTAGGGTTCAGTGCTAAGGGTTTCGGTTTCTTTTTTGGTTACGGGTTTTAAGGGTTTATTGGTTCAGGGTTTAGTGTGTAGGGTTTAGGGTGTAATGTTTAGGGTTTAGTTTTTTAGTGGTGTTAGTGTTTAAGTGTTTAGTGGTTTAGTGTTTAGGGTCTAGTGCTTAAGTTTTAGGGTTTCCTGTTAAGTGTTTGGGTTTGTGCTAAGGGCTTAGTGTTAAGTTTTAGGGTTCGTGTTAGGGTTGGTGCTTTTTTGGGTTTAGTAGTGCTTATGTGTTTAGGGTTTTAGTGTCAAGTGTTTGGGTTCGTGGGCCTAGTGGTAAGTTTTTTAGGGTTAGTGTTTTAGGGTCTAGTGCTGAGTGTTTAGGGTTTAGTGTTAAGGGTTTCGGGTTGGTTTTTTGGATTAAGGGTGTTAAGATGTTTACTAGGTTCAGGGTTTAGTGTGTAGGGTTAGTGTGTAATGTTTAGGGTTTAGTTTTTAGGGTTTGGTTTTAGGGTGCATGTTTAAGTGTTTAGGGTTTAGTGTTTAGGGTAGTGCTTAGGTGCTTAGGGTTTCATGTTAAGTGTTGGGGTTTGTGCTAAGGGCTTAGCGTTAAGTTTTTAGGGTTAAGGATTAAGGGTTTTTGCAACTTTACATGACTGGGGAAGGCGCTGGGGCTTCCCCAGACCATCTAAACTTTAAAATCCTAAAACCTTATAAAAATCTCTAAGCTTCTGTTTAAACATTCTCAGGATTAATGAAGGTTTTAAGACAAATCCGTTAAAACCCTGAAATCTTGCGGTTGTAAAAGGCTGTCCTTTGAAGTTTAAAGTTTTTAGGATGTTCGATTCTAAAATCCGTAACTTCCTTAATTTTAAACGGCTGCCCGTTTTTTAATTTTAAGGAAGTTTAGACTTTTAAGGGATAAACGTTTCGAAGGTCTTTAAGGGCTTTAAAGCCTTTTAAGATCCTTTAAATCTTTAAAATTTTGAAAGGCTTTAAGTACCTTAAAGCCCTTCAAATTTGAAAAGGGCTGCCCCTTTAAAGGATTTTTAAATTGCAAATGGTCTGGGAAGCCCCGGTGCCGTCCACAGATCATCTAAATGTTACAAACCCCTAAAACCCTGAAAATCCTTAAACTTCTAATTGCTACCCTTCTAAAATTTTATGGGGCCGCAAGACACAAGTTCAGAAGCAACAGCACATTAAAACACTAGTGTTCTTATAGAGGATTGATACTAGAGCTTTTTGTATTCCAGTGCAGTTTTTACTGCATTTTTCCGAGGAAAAAGCAGAAAATCAGACAAAGACGAAGACAAGAAAACATAGGTGTGGATCTTGGGGGGGCTGACCATATATATATATATATCTATATCATATATTCTTACTGCACAAGTAGATCTTTACTTCTGTCTGTACATAATTTGTATAGCCAGCTCCATTCTTGTCTCATGGGCATTCCGATGCCTTTCCCCAAAAGGGCAACATTAGACATCCTGAGCCAAGCTGCGTTGCCCCACGCGTTTAAGCCTAGCTCGCTCGGCCCTTTGGAACTTTGTATACTTGCCCTTATAGTTGGTTTAAGAGGACTCTAGTTAGGAATATCTTTCAAGAGGGCTTTACGGGCCATCCTGGCTAGATGGGCTGAGCCTCAAAGCCCGCCCCCAACTCCCTATTCCCTGATTTGGCCTAGTGATCTTTGGGTCCAGGTCATGGACCACAGCTGGAGCCCCGGGCACAGCTTCTGAGCTTTCAATGCCTCAAAGTCGCCTGCCCAAAGTTCAAGACAAAACCTCGAAGGACGTCCCGGGACCTACCGTGGTTTCGCCATGTCCCTCAGACCCCGATGGTTGGGGTTTAGGTTTAGGTTTAGGGTTGCATCATCGTAAAATGACGTACCTGGAAGGACAGGGTTTGGCAGGATGCATATTGCATGCGAGCACCCCCCCCCCCCCCCCTCCCCCCTTCCCCGCCCTCCCAACTTAAAGAAACCAAAACCCACTGTCCATATAATTAGGGCCCTCCCAACTTAAAGAAACCAAAACCCACTGTCCATATAATTAGGGGATGTGCTCTATTGGATCGGCGGTTGGAACCCACCCTCCAAGGGCGCCAAGCCATGATGAATGTCTACTATAGGGGCCTGAATAATGAGCATAAAGTTTCGGGGCTTATTATAGTACAATTACAAAGGGACCATAAGGGAACATGATTCGAATTTACTCCGACCCTTACTTTAGCTCGTTTGAGGACCCTAAGCTCTATCATCCCCTCACGCCTCGTTCGGCTGTTCCACTTTGGACTTTTCGACTTTGTCAGAAGTGCTCAGGTGCTGCTGCGAACTTTTCAAGTGCTTTTCGGACTCTTCTATGCGCAATTTTCCGATTGTTCAGGGCTTTTCGGTATTTTTGGAGTTTTGGGGGTGTTGTTCATTGCTTGAAGCTCTTCTTCAGACTTTCGGGTTCTTTGGCGCTGTTTCCGCAGCAACAAGCATACCCAAACAGAATTGGCACTTCCCGAAGCCCTAATACTCTAAACCTCATTTGTAGAACTAGTTTGAGGTTAGCTGGGAGCTTGTTTTGTTTTTTAAAAGTCCGGCGGGCCGAAATCACTACACAATCAGTAGAATGTCAGGTTCTAAGCGGCCCTCCAGTTAGGCTAGGATTTAGGGTTTAGGGTTTAGGGTTTAGGGTTTAGGGTTTAGGGTTTAGGGTTATAGGGGGCCCAATCCCTTGAAAACCTCAGGCGCTGGGAAGATCGCATCGCTCGTTTGCCAGCGAGTCCCAGGACGAGATTTATACCCTAAACCCTAAACCCTAAACCCCAGACCCTAAACCCTAAACCCCCTCATTCTAACCGTCCTTAATATCAGGGGATGAAGACTCGTACCCCTAAGGTCGTACCCCTAAAGGTTCCCCTTTTTTTCTCCTAGGATGGCCCTCATATTCCCTTAGGGATCCTTAAAACGGGGCCCCCAAAACCCGAGGGTGCAACCTTAAGGGTCCAAGCTAGAACACCTAGATAATAAGGATTCTAATAAGGGGTTGCTATAATAAGGGGTTACTATAATCGGGATTATAATAAGGGGTTACTATAATAAGGGGTTACTATAATAGGGATTCTAATAAGGGGGGTACTATAATCCCTAATTAAGGGCTGTTAGTATAAGGGGGAAGATCCCAATCTCAAGCTCTAGACCTTCTGAGGGGTTTCGGGTTTAGGGCTTGCTTGCTCGGCCTTTGAGGCGCGCGTGTCTAAGGGTAGTTTCATGGGCGCTTAATGTGGTTCCTTACCTCCTTTAAAGGGTTCTGATGTAAGGGCCCTTAGTTTCATAGGGCATACAAGCGGTATATAAGGTACAATTTTAAGGGCCCATACGATAAGGGACCATGTAACTACCCCAAGAGTGTGGGGTGTTCTATAGCCCGAAGGGGCGTGCTCGCCCATCTTCAGCGCAATGTTTATGATCAGGTGGGCTGCATGGCTATGGGGGCTTGAGGCTTAAAAACTAGAGTCCTAGACCCTTAAGAAAGGGTTAACGTGCCATAATTCTTGGTAAACCCTAAACCCTCAACCCTAAACCCTAAACCCTATATCCAGGCTAATCCGAAGGTTCAGGCAGACGTCTTCGGTCGCAGTGCGACAACTTCGAAGTCCGCAACACCTCCCCAGCCTCAGAAAACACGAAGCTTTCAGTTCTTGGTATGGAATTTGGTGCCCAATCCCCTGCAGGGTCATGGGATGTAGAAGCCCACTTCCCTGGCAAGAACCCGAGGCCCGATTCCCTAAACCCTGATCTCAGACCCTAAACCCGAAAACCCTAAACCTAAACCCTACAACCCCAAACCCGACAATCTCAAGCCCTTAACACTAAACCCTGAACCCTAAACCCTAAACCCTAAACCCTAAACCCTAAACCCTAAACCCTAAACCCTAAACCCGAACTTGCGAGCTTCCGGGAGCTGCAGGAGTTGGTCTTGATGGACCGCCGAGACACTGGGGTGGCGCTGTGCCTATCCCAGCTTCTGGTGTGCGTCTTCTAGGGCAGTCTCTGAGTTTAGGGTTTAGGGTTTAGGGTTTAGGGTTTAGGGTTTAGGGTTCTGCAGCTCCGCATCGAGCAGTTTTATGGTAGTGGTATATTTACGGCTCGGATATAACACCCACCCAGAGAATCCCATAACATGAAGAAACCTTAAAGTATTTTCATACAACAATTCTATTCAACGAAGACTACGGCTACAGAACAAATTCGTTCTTAAAAATCCGCAAGCGTCACACAAGGATGAATATTACAAGAAAAAGAATGGCCGGAAACCCTCACAGGGGTGGATAAGGATGGAGGGTGGTGGGGGGGGGTGGGTGTGCCCACGTGCCTTGCCCACGAATTTTTGTGCCTTGCCCCCCCAATTTTTGTGCCTTGCCCACCAATCTTTGTGCCTTGCCACACGAATTTCGGTGCCTTGCCCACCAATTTTGGTGTCTTGCCCACGAATTTTGGTGCCTTGCCCACGAATTTTTGTGCCTTGACACCAATTTGCGTGCCCGAAAATTCGTGGGCAAGGCACAAAAAACCGTGGGCAAAGGCACAAATATTCGTGGGAAAGGTGGGCAAGGCGCAAAAACTCGTGGGCAAGGCCCATTTTGGGGTTTTAAGCCTTGCCGACGGGCCCAAAAACTCGAAACGTGCCTTGCCCACGAATTTTTGTGCCTTGCCCACGAATATTTGTGCCTTCCCCACGAAACCCATTGGGGTTTATATATATATATATATATATATTTAGGGTTTAGGGTTTAGGGTTTAGGCGCTTGTGGGGTTTTATGGGGCTTAGGGGTTTGTAGGGCTCAGGGTTTAATAGGGTTTCGGTGTTTGAAGGGTCAGCAGCCGAGATATCTGCAACAAGACAGGGGAAGCCTGCCCAAAGAGGTACTTTTCCCTTTCTTCAAGGGCCTCTACACTAATGTTGCGCTAGGGTTTCGTGCAGCGAGGTGTTTCAGGCTACCTTGGGCCTTGGAATCCCCACTCACCGAAGCCCAAGCACCCAGCCAGCCGGAGCAAGGTCCCTAAGCGCCTTAAATCCCTAAACCCTAAACCCTAGGCCTCATCTCCAACAATGACAGGGGGGCAACACTCACCGAAGCCCTGTAAAAAAGCTTCGAAACCCACCTGCCAGCCCTTGAGAAACCCCGAGCCATTACATGTTCATGCCCTGCGCCTGGGGCATCTCCTGGACACGGGCATGGATGAGCAGCCGCAGGCCAGGCTGTTGCTCCCAAAGTTCCATCGGTTTAAGGTTTAGGGTTTAGGGTTCAGGGAAACTAGTAGGGCCCCAAAAAATCCCTGGGTGGGCCAGTATATTCGAAATTCTGTTGAATACTGATATGAAATTTGCTTCTCTGCTGTTTTTGTATCGGCTATCGACATTTAACCAGTTTCCGTTTTTTGTTTTGTTTTTCATGTAGTTCGTTCATTCGTTTGTCGTGAGTTATGTTTGAGTTATATATCAATCGGTACCTGTATGTCAGCATATATCCTTAGTACGCCCAAGTAGCAATATTTGAATATCAATGCATAAATAAATACATATACATATACAAATACACACACACACATATATATATATATATATAGAGACATACAAGTATGGAGACAATCAAGATTCTGAACAGTGTACAAGTATGCAAATGTGTTGGCTTATGCACATACATGTTTCGATCTATGTAAAAACATACAAGCCTGTCCAATAACGAAATGTATCAGACGGTATACAACGACACAGATGTCTAAACTTGTGCACGTAACAAATACCCCAAGGCTCTGAGGACTCTTGGGGTTTAGGGTTTTTGGGTCCACAGTCCCTCTTACATAAGGTTTTTGGGCTGTTTTGAGCCTCAGGGATATTGAACTTTATCATTGGAAGAAGCACAAAAGGCTGCTTTGGATGGTCCCTCTTCTACAACAAAACAGGGAAGGGAACGGGAGTCGGGATTCAGTTCGCCATCAGGTTTCTGGGTTTCTTTGGGGTTTAGGGTTTAG